GTTCTTCCAGGAAACTGAAGAACCATACACAAAAATGATCTGACAAGCCATAACATCGAAATTTTGCCAGCAAAAAATACGAGTGTATGATATTAATGCGAGGAGTCAAAAATCTATTACCTGGTATCTGTCCCAATTTGGCCGCTCTGGAATTTTGGACTTGTGTTGAAATAAACGACTAGAATTGGCATATACCATGGCTACTCTGAAGTCTCAAATGCGATACTATGTCAGTGATATTCATTCACCCTATAAGAATTCTTTACAATTCATTATTGAATGGAAGGATATTCATAGCGAAATTCCGCATAATCTTTTCTGTTCGAAATACCTAACACCGCGTGGTACTACGGAGCCGAAACTACACAATTAATACCTTAGACATCTAATTTTCCAGTTATTTTAAAATTATAACCTGACATCAGTGTTTTAGTCCCTGGAAACAGTTGAAACGCAAGGCCATCGTGTGTTGATCCACATAATTTGGTTCATAAATAAAGGCTGATATGAAAACAAAAACCAACTAAAGATAGTAAAGATATTGCTCGGCTTGGTGTATTTCAGTTTCAGTGTGTGATTTATTAGAGAGGTGTCAGTGGGTGTTAGTTACTTATTCAGGATTTTACTGAAAGAGCTGTGAGAATGAACATTCGTTTTCCATTATCATAACGATGCATTAGCTGCTGTTTTTTAATGATAAAGTCTGTTTCGAAGAAACAAGTTGAAAAACTGTATTTTTCCCAGAAATGTTTTAAATGTGTTTATGAAACAGCAGTAAGTAGGAAATTGGCACAGTTCTATAAAACATTATAGTCTTTATTAATGTCTTGTAGGGCCTTTTACAAACACTACAAAACAGTTTTATAAACATTTCGGCAGTTACTATGAAATTTTTCTAACACTCTTGAAAAGTAGTTTTGTGAAGATACTTATAAAATAATTGAAAGACAATTTTATAAGAGTTTTCTAGTAGTTCCAAGTAAGCGTTACAAAATATAATGCATCCTGAAAGGATAACAATAAAATAAAAAAGTGTTCGAAATATTTTCCTAAAGGCACAAGAAGTAATTTTCTATTGAAACTACAGAAAGCAGTTATAAAATAAGCAAGATAAGTTTTATAAATATCATACAAATTTCGCATAAAAGTGCTATGAAACTGCTTCAAAACAATTTACTTTTATAGAAAAATATGTTTTATAAGTTATAAGCGGGTATGCACTCCATGGAGAAGGCGACCACATATGCCGCACATACCATCAGTAAATACTTAGGAGCCTCAGGCGCTTGGCGGCAGGCCGTGTTCCTGATCTCTAGAACCACTATAATCACAAGACACCATCTTAGTACTCCAGTCGAGAAAAGCAAAGATCAGATGCCTAACAAAGAAAGAGAGAAAGAAAGTTGTGGTCCCAGTGTCAAAAACTAATTCATCGACCTCTTAGGCAACTGTCTCGAAAATGCACAAATTTTTGCTGTCTAATGGTTGCCGACCATGAAGGGGAGATATTCAACTCCTGATGACTGTTATGTGTGATGATTTTGGGAAAACTGATTGTTTTCCAAACCATCAAAAGACTTTTGAAAACACTGTTTCATTTCTACGCATTTTAAACGTTTTTGATCTTTTCAACAGTGTTAGTTGATGGGGGTATGTTTTTCAGGTTAGTTTTTGAAAAAAAGCGCTTTGGATTTATTTTTCTCTTCATACAAAACATTTGGGAAATATCCGCAGGGGTTTTAAATTGTGAAATTTGAAACAGTTGTTCGATTATATCATTACCTACCAGCAACCGAATTTTTATACCTGCCTTTCCCAAATTTGGAAATAGAAATATTTCACAACCATCTAGAAAATAGGAAGAGAAAAACAAAATCAGTCCGAGTCTCACCTTACCATGAAATCAATGAAACAAAGGATTAGGTTGTTTCAGAAGTTTTGTCCATTCATCTAGACATGTATTTTGGTAGCTCTATATCTCAGTATCCACCAGGAGACTGACCTAACCAACCACTGCTCAGATCTCAGTCAGTCCAACCACTATCCCGACTGAGATCAGTACAGTGGTTGGACACCGACTAGCGAACTAGTTTTCAAGCACTTCGACAACTTTTACATCGCTCGAAGCTTCGCCAATCAACATCAGGCAAAAACGGCCTTCGTCGACTCCATCGAATCCCGAGCACGCAATGTTCATACTGACTTAATTGGGTAAAATTGAATAAGTATTCACTGAGATATTACAGTTTGAAGTAACTCATGAAAACGGAGAAAACTTTTGAAACACCTAATATGAAGCTAATGACCGGCTTCCGGAATACTAATATTACTGTTAGATGTCTATCGTTCGGATAATTATCTCCAATCAATTGCTGTCTCTTAAAAAAGTCACAATATCAATAACAACACCTTCGAAATGGATACCAATTAGGTTTTCATTTAATTACGATCGTCTTTCTTCGAGCCATTTAATGTTGAGCATGCGATCGTTTTGACAAGAAAAACCTCGTTTAATGCATGGAATGATCTATTACGGGAAGCACGCAACTTTATACAAAGCTATCGCGAAAGAAAAGCAATAGTGTATGTGGCAGATGTTACGATTGAGATGATTTTAGTGGTTTATTCTTCATGATAATTATCGATAATTGAATAGAACTGGCCGATACTTGATGAAAATCCATATTAAAAATCATCAATTCAGTCTATTGCGTGATTTTCGCTATACAGAGTTTTATAAAAACCGCATTTTACGCTTGAGGAAGCACGTGTCGCGGTTTTTGTAAAACCCTTTATAGTGAAAATCATACAATAAACTCTATTGATGAGTTTTAATTACTAATAACTTTTTTTCCGAACAAAACACAAGCACTACAGGAAAATTCTTAAGGCGGTCTCAGAGCGGTGCCTGAGCGAAAGTGGCGATTCACATTTGAATCGCTGGAGATTATTTCACATGAAATAGTTCTGGAAGAGTGGAGTTCGAGGTGTACTGAGTTGAGCTTCAAAACGATGAGCAGCTACAGTCCGTCGCGTATTTCAGATATGTACCGCTCTTGGTGGAATCAAATGTGCCAAGTCACTTGAACACTTTCCGTGAATATCTCTATAGAGGAGAGCCAAATCCCCAATCTTTCCTCGATGTTCCAGACTATCAAGGTTGCCAGTGATGTTCGCGTCTCCAATTAGGCGGATGGCTCTTTTCTGGAAGGAATCCAGCAACTTCAGGGTGTGTTTCGAGGCAGAGCTCCATACATGAGAACAACACTCCAAAGAAGGTCTGATCTGAGCTTTATAAAGCATCAAAAGTTACTGAGGTGTTTACAGTTTTCTGGTTCGGAACAGTATTCTAAGCTTTTGACATGCTCCAGCTCAAATTGGTACCGGTAAACCAACAGCTCAAGGTAAAGGAAATAAGAAGGAAAATAAATTGGAGAGGAAGAGTGAATGAAACAAGAGTAGACGCAAGAGGCTCTAGAACCAGAAGAGCTAGAAGCAGAGAAACTCAAGAAACAAGAGGATCCTTTCGCAGCTATGCCCAAAGGTCCTTTCGACATGGACGATTTCGAACGATTCCAACGAAGAAGAAAGCAAATCCATTCCATACTTCTGGCAGAAATTCGACTCAGTACACTACTCGATATGGTACTGCGTGTACAAATATCCTGAAGAACTTGCCAAAGTATTCATGAGCTGCAACCACATAACCGGCATGTTCCAGAAGTTAGACAAAATGCGTAGGTAAGCGTTTGCGCCGGTATGTCTTTTTGGAGAAGATAACAACAGCGCCATTTTAGGCGTTTGGGTATGGCGAGGCCAGGAGGTTGCTTTCCCATTGAGTCCCGATTGGCAAAAAGATTATGAATCATATGACTGAAAAAAACTAGATGGTAGTTCCGAAAAAAGTATTACCTTGAAGTTATGCACATCCTTTGAGAAGCCATTCCTCGTCCGGTATTGTGGAAAAACAATTCATGATTTTGCATCATGATAATGCACCTGCTCTTGCTTGTTCATGATTTTTGGGCTGAAAACAATACCGTAATCATGCCTAAGCCACGGTATTCACTAGATTTGCTCCCCTGCGACTTTTTCCTGTTCCCAAGATTGAAGACACCCTTGGAAGAAACGCTGGAACAAGTGTATTATTATATCTGAGGGGCTACTTTGATTGGGACAAAATAGAAATTGATCAAAAAATAAATATTTTTTGACAAAAATTTTAATTTACCATATTTTTTTGACCGACATTCTAAAACTCGTTAGACATATGTCGAGGAAGTTTAAAAATAAAAAGAACCAGCGAAAAATTAACTGCTCGTATCATTAGATTTCTTTTATTCCTGAAGACGGAGGCAATTTTCAGCTTTCGAAACGTTAAGATAGATACCTGATTCATTTCTCAGCTCTTTTTTGACAAGCAAAATTATTCAATATCGGGATGAACTGAAAAGTTTACCCTTTTTTCACCTGTACAATTTTTATATATTTCAGATTATGAAGGGTGAAAGTATAAAAAAATGTTCGATAAAGACTGATTTCTTCAATAAAAAATGACGTTTGTCAACCATTCTTGGAGAGCTCATAGAAAATAAAATTTCCAAATAAATAACAATATTATCACTGACTCCTGACAAAGTAGCGATCGATAATGAATACTTCCATTTCTGCGTGAACAGTTCAAAATGACTATTCCGAAATCTGCACAAACATCCACCTATTTCGGGAAAAAACAGAACAGCCACCAATGAAGAATTAATAACCAACCTCAAATAGTATTTTTTCGAAGTCGATCGCCCTCAAGAATCGCCCTGTACACAACAGTTTGCAATAGCTTGTCCTATCAAGACTGGCAACTGGCAGTATTCGGTGTCGGTTGGGTTGCGTGCTCAGTAATAAGCAGGCGCTTATATACCCTGAAACTAATTCTTTTTAAAACTTTTGTGGATACATATTTCCCCTATTTCTCCATTGACACTGCCAGTCTGAACGCGGCAACGGCGGGATCAACATATTTTGGAAGAACAATTTAGTTGATTCGCAATCCTCAGTTAATTTTTCAAGTTTTTATTAGAATCCTCTGGTAATTCTGTTATAATTATTTTTTAATCAAAGTCCTGTAATGCATGTTCTCTGCACTATATTTCAATTGCTGTACTTCTGTATTCGATAAAGTTAAAGGAGAATATATGACAACTCCTGGATCGGATGCACGAGAGATAAGATTAAAAAATTGAATTGAATAAAAGATTGAAACTACTTCAAAGCAAAAGAAAATACTTTAATGAAACTGGCCGATACTTGTTGAATATCCATTCCACAATAGAGTTTGTTGTGATTTTCACTACAAGTTTACAACATAGCTTCTTCAAGTAGTAAATTACTACTAAATCATGACCATTTTATAGTCTTAAAACATTAGGTATTACCTATGCTCCAATCAGATAATTAATTCTAGACGAGCTTCAAGCTTCAACCATCTGAAAAAAAAAGATACAATACTTAATTCAGTAGTAAAAATAGGACTGGAAATGAATAATTATTATGTAGTAATTATTATAAAGGGGCTAAGTATGATAATCGGATGAAAAGAAATTAAACAATGGAAGCTTTTTAAATGAAATGGATCGTTCATCAAATATTGGGAACATATGAATTTCATACTTTCCAGAATGAAAAGTTTTGAATTAACGATTGGACTCATGTATCGCTGTAAGTAGGCGAGTAACATAAATTGAAGTTATTTTTCCATTCTGGAAACTGTTTCTGTTCTTTTATTCGCGCATTGACTGTTCTTTGAGTTTAAACTATGTGAAATATCGCACATGAATCACATGAAAATGTATAAACTCAGTTTTCTTTTATTCGCGCTCTGAATGTTCTTTCAGTTTGAACTATGTGAAATATCGCACATGAATCACGTGAAAATTTATAAACTCCGTGTTCTTTCATTCGCGCTCTGAATGTTCTTTCGGTTTGAACTATGTGAAATATCGCGCATGAATCACATGACAATTTAACTACTCCCTGACCTATCTGACACCAAACTCTTCATTGGTTTTACACGACACATTTAATTTGCTGCTTGAAGAAGCTATTGTATAGCTAAATACGTATCACGGTTTTGTGAAAATCACAATAAACTATATTAGTTAGAAGAAAATACTATTCCCATCTTGATTGTATTACGAATCGGATGATTTCATTTCCTGGAATACCATTGGAAAACGAATCCAGAAACGATATGAAATCGAGAAAGGTTAATGCAGTCAAGATGCTGAAAAATGATGTCATGAAAATCAAAAGAGAAATAGATAAGTTTTATTCTGATCATTCCCTAATTGATTTCAATTTAGGAGCCAACGGTAGACAGCTGTTTCAGCCTTTTGGGCATCTTAGAAAGGTTAAACATGTTCAGGACAGTGGTTGGACACCGATGAGCCACCCTCCCAAAGGCGAAAACTCACCAAAAAAAGACCATGGTTACTGTGTGGTGGTCAGCAGCATTACAGTAGCCTGTTGTTAGGAAATCGACATTATGAACCGAAAATTGCTTCAGCAGCTGCCGGCACTGGTCAACAGAAGAGGACCGATCCTATTCCACGACAACGCCCATTCACACGTTTCACAAATGTCCAAATAATCGAATTGAGCGTCAAAGTTCTTCATTACCCACCATACTACCCAAACCTCTTGCCAATCGACTACCGTGTTTTCAAGCACTTCGACAACTTTCTCACCGGTGGAAGCTTCGCCAATCAGGACCAGGCATAAACGGCCTTCGTCGATTTCATCGAATACCAAGCATCCAATGTTTGTACTGACAGGATTGATCTAATTCAAATTGCGCTTATTTAGATTGGATGGAATAAGTATTCACTGGGGGTCATAAAAATGGACAAAACTTTTGAAACGACTCATACAATTCTTTGTTCTCCTTTTTTAGGGGGAATAACATTTTATACAACTTGTTAACACCGTAGATTTTTAAAAACTCAATAATTCTTATATAGATTTTCAATTATCTACATTTCAAAGGATTTTCAACAATGGGAAATGTTCCTTCTGACGAAAATCAAGTAGTTTTCATGAAAGAGCTCTAAAACAACGCATTTTAAACTCATCATTTCAACGTTTTTCGTTAAAAAATTATTTAAATACTTAAAACAGAAGAATGAAATGATGCATTCAATATTTATAGGGATTCGTTTCTATTTCACCATTTGGCAACATCGGTTATAGCTAATAAAGGACAATGAATCTGTTACCTGTATGAGACAAAAAAAGATGACATATTTCAGAGGCGTGCTGTTCTGTTCACTTATGTTCCGAGTTCCGACACATTCTGTGACATATGACATTTTGTGCACCTAACCTATCTTCCTCTATATAAATAAATAACAAAACAACTGTTGTTTATGTGGCTTGTGGAGGTGGTATTGAACTATAATTTATATTTTGCCTTAATTGTTGAATCATAAAGATAATTTTCCTTCTTCAAAGTAGAATATCTAGGTACGTATAAATTATTTCCACTTGATATAGGCGTTGTTGCCAATATGTGAATCAGAAACAAATCCCTTCAAAAATTAAAACCCAACATTTGAAACATTAATTTGAATACTTTTCGAAGTGAATTTGAAATACTCATGAATTGAACTCAACTTTATTTTGTTCAAACTTGCATTTGCTGTAATAACCCAAATTGGGGAACATTCCCCATTCCAGAAATTCATTAATAGAAGTCTCATTTTAGAGTTCCGCAACAGATCGTAGTTTTCTAGTGTTCCCGGCTGAATGAGCAAAAATAAATTTAAAATTGAATGATTGCTTCCTTTCTTTGGAGGATTTCCACAATTTTTTATACAAAAATGCAGAAGTAGAAAGCCAGAACCTTTCTTTCCAAACATTATTTTCTCGTTAAAATATACTCCTTTTCAATTTGAAAAGAACCCTTCATATACTTTTTCAAATTCACTCTTTCAGTGAATATATTGTAGTTATCAACATTGAGATTCTTCCAAATAGAAGGAGCCGTTTTGCCGGTATGATATTATAAATTATATTCATTCTAATTAAAAAAATTCACAAATCACTGTTGGCTAATAAAACATTTATGGTGATTGTGTCTAGACTAATTATTCCACTGTTAGTTTCGCTCTTTTAATATTTCTCGTACCAAACAAATATTATTTACGGTGTTATTATTTGTTTCGGGGATATTGTTACATCACGAGGTATTTTTATAACTGTTCTGATGTATTTTTATGAGAGCCGAACTTGTTTTAGAAGTTCCGAAATATAAATATCTGCCATTGTCGAGAATCACGCTAACTATAGGATGATTCGTGAAGACACTGTCGTTGTAGAATCAGATTTTAGGAATGATTATTTGCAGTCACAGGTAGTTGAATTATGGCCAACATATACAGGGTGTCAATTCGAAAACTTTCCCACCCTTGATATCTTCCTTCCAGTAAATAATGTGGGGAATCGAAAAAATAAATGAATTTTATAGTCAAGGCGGACACTTTCAAGGAATATTTGTAGCCCTAGTGGTTCAACCAAGGAGGAGTAGATGTCGCCCTTAGAATCTTAAATGGGAAGGGGTGTCAAGTGTCACATCATTTTGATTGGCTTTCAATTCTGCTTCCAATGATATCCTGACTTTTTTTTTGATGAGCAGTTTCAGAAAAATGGTTGGAAGTGTAGGTGGCACTGATTTTCTATTTGTTGGTTATTGCTCTTTCAGAAAATGAAATTTAATTTGCTAGAGAAGCATTTCAAACATAAAATCTACTTACGTTTATCTTAATAAAATTGTTCAAAATGTCGACCATTTCACTCTAATCAGTAAATTCTGTTTCCGAACTCCCCTCTAACATAACGGAACACTTCACTAGGAATTGACTGGCATGCTGCTGTAATTAGTCTTTCAAGTTCTTCAGTATGAGAATGTTGTGTTTAATAAACAAGGGATTCGAAATGCCCCCAAAGAAAAAATCTAAGGGTGTTAACTCCGGTGATCTTGGAGGCCATTCAACTGTTCCCCTTCCTCCAATCCATCTATCCGGAAATCTCTCGTTTAACCACTGTCGGACGGGTAGAAAATAATGAGGTGGAGCACCTTTCTGCTGGAAATGTAACAGATCCTCCTGCAGAAGTCCATTACCTCCTGTACACATTTGAGTTTATAGTTCGTGAGTTATAAGAGGATCGATAGTCTCTTCAAGCATGCCAAGGTACATATTGCAAGTCAAGTTTTCTTCCAGAAAGTGACATATCATAATGACATTTTCAAGAATACCAGCCCAAACATTAACTTTTTGTGGGTGTTGTGTATATGTGTGTAATATGTGTAATATATGTTGTGTAATATGTGGGTTTTCATCACTTCGATAGCGAAAATTTTGTCTATTAACATTGCCATTCAGAAAAAATCACCTCATTGCTGAAACGGATGTTCAACAGAAGATTACGAATGGTATTGACTCAATGAGACATGATTTCACAAAACTCCATTCTTCTATCATAATCATCCTCGTGGAGTCGTTAAATTCCGTAAGCACAAAAATTAGGATGTTCAGAATTCGATAAAGTGGTCGAAGACCGTTTTTATCTGTTACTCATTGTTGAAGGTTTTACCGTTGAGGAAGTTATCGTAGTGCTTGAAAAGATGGTAGTCGGTTGGGGCAAGATCTGGGGAGTATGGTGAATGTGACAGAACTTTGGTGCCCAATTCGTCTAATTTTCGGACGGTGAATTTTAAAACGTTCGGACCTCGTCTGTTGACTAGTGCCAACTTTGAATTGAACGTTAATTAACACTGTCATTGCCAAATGCCTAGTAATTTTTTGGGCTGTTTGACAGCGCTTTGGTTCGATTTGAATCCGTAAAGGTAAAAATTGGCCAAAATCGCTTGAAGACATCATATGGCTGAAAAGAGGTCAAATGTAAAATTTGAATCGATCAATAAATACACAGTAGAATATATGTTTATTGAGATATGGAGCTATAAAAACACATGACATTAAAACGGACAAAACTTCTGAAACAATATCATAATAACTTCAATTTCATATCACTTCTGAAATATGATAGGTACTCTTTAAGTTTGAAATGTACGTCTCAAATTATATCAAAAATATGTTGAATACTGAAATATTTGCTTTATGGTGTTTCAGTAACTGCTATGAAATGTACACCAATGAAATTACTCAATAGGTCTGAATATTTTGAATGGAAACCAGATGATCAAAAATGTTACGAACCAATTTATTTCTCCAAAGAAAGTGACGGGTGAGTATCTTGTAGCCAATTTTCAATATCACACTGATAATTTCATTCAAATCTATCTTGATTCATCATGTATGAGACGTAGTATCTACCTACTACCTAGGTACTCATCCTTAGAAAATTACAATTATGACTTTATTGTTGAAATTGAAGGATGTGAATTTTCAATCACCTAGATGGTGTGATCATTATGCTCATAATAGTATTTCATTGATTTCTGGTTTGATTAACTTCTGTATCTGTAGAGTAGGGAGGGTGAGTGTAAGCCCACAGTACTTAGGCCACATGTGACCCACTGTACATCCTCCAGAGGAGTTGTCCTCCTAGGTCATCGTCCATCCTGTCCTTTCCAGGAAGGTGGACAGATCACTGGGAGACATCTGCTTTATATCGGCAGGTGTAGGCCAAGACTCGCCGAACACACACTCTCTTATTGACGATAACTCCTGGCACTCGCACATGACATGCCTGACGGTCTCATCTTCCTGTTCACACATCCTGCATAGAGGTATGTCCACCAGCTCCATATTATGGAGGTGTTTCCTTAGTTGACAGTGACCAGTCAGAAATCCTACTGTTAGGCGTAGATTTTTCCTGATCATTGTCAAATATTTCTTCAGCGCCAGCTTCCCAGGGTCACCCAAGGTGATTGGTTTCGTCCCATCTCTTTAAGGATTGAGCATGGGTGTAACATTTGGCTAGTTCCGCAATTGTCGAAGTCATCAGGCCGTAGGTGCCACTGGGTCCTAAAATTCTTAGTCCAGCCGCTTCCTTGGCTGAAATGTTGGCAATGCGATTACCTTTACTCCTGTCGTGCCCTTTAACCCACCTCAGGATAATGTTATTATCTACCGAGGCTTTGGCTAAATCTTGGTGACACTCTAGTACTAGCCCTGAGGTTATACGTTGTCTGTTCAAGGCTAATAGGGATTGTCTGCTGTCACTGCAGATTGTTATGTTTTTGCCAGAAATTCCTTTCTTGGTTAATTCTTTTGTGGCGATTGAGGTACCAGCCAGTTCTGTTTGGACCATGCTGGTATTTCTTCCCATTACCCACTTAATTCTTAGGCTTAGTGATCTGGAATACACTCCACACCCTGAGCCTTCTTTGGTTTTTAGCCATCTGTCATGCCAAAATCCGTATTGCATTTATATCATCTGACTCTATGTTCTGCTTTATTTGTATTTTGTAGGGTTTATCAAACACAAACCTGGGTTCAATTGCATCGCTTGTTGCCTGCAGCAGAGGTTGCGCAGTAAGCGCTTCCCGCCATTCTATCGCACAGTGTGTTTACAAATTTGCCGGTCTGCAAGATAACTATGTCATCTGCGTATGCAGTTGTGTAGAATCCATTTTTGTTAAGGTGATTAGTCAGGGTATCCAGAACTATGTTCCAGAGAAGGGGTGATAAAACCCCTCCCTGTGGACATCCCCTCATGACCAGTCCTTTCACTGTGATGTCTTCTACATTAATACTTATTGCTCTGCTAGAGAGCATCTGGAGTATCCATTCTCCTACTACCAGGGGTTCATTCCTGGAGTGTAGTTGCTGGGTAATTGTTGGAATGGTTGTTTTATCAAACGCTTCCTCGATATCTATGGATGGGGTGGATTCTTTATTGTCCAATGATCTCTCGATTCTGCCAACCACATGGTGAAGGGCAGAATCAGTAGACCTTCCCGAAGTATATGCATGCTGATTTGGATGAAGTGGGTTGTGAACTAGTACTTCATCTCTTATGTACCGCTCACATAGCTTCTCCATGATTTTTAAGAAAAACGATGTGAGAGTAATTGGTCGCAATGCTTTTGGTAGGGTGTAGTCCATCCTACCTGGTTTGGGTATAAATACTACTCTTACTTCTCTCCACTTACTGGGAATATACCTCAGAGCTAGAGTGGCTCTGAATATTCCAGCCAGGTGTGTCATAAGAGTGTCCAGTCCCCACTGAAGTAGGGCTGGTCTTATACCGTCAGGTTCTGGTGACTTGAAGGGGGAAAATCCCGATACAGCCCATCTTATTTTGTCCTCATCAATTACTGCACTAGCAGATAGCCAGTCGTATTGTGAGGGTGTTGTTGGTACATTCGTCCAGTTCGTCGTTCCAGGAAAGACATAACCTGGGAAGTGAGTTTCCATAAGAATCTCAGCACTCTCCTGGAGGTTGGCGGCTTTGTCGCCATTTTTCCTCGTCAGGATGCCGATACTCTTATGGTGGTCATTCGAGAGTGCCTTCTGTAGCCTAGAAGCTAGTGGGAAGTCTTCGACTGCCTCACAATAGGCTCTTCAGGCTTCTCTTTGCTTTCGTCTGCAAACTTTTCTGAACTCTCTGAGGTTGGCTTGATATATAACCCAGTCCTCTTCGAGTCTTGTACGTTTTGCCTTGTTAAAGGTCGTTCTCGCTGTCTTCCTGAGGTGTTCCAATTCAGGGCACCACCATCTGTTGTTTGTGCCATCTGTTTGAACCATCCTCATCGGACAGGATTCCTTGTAGGCAGTGTCTATTTTGTTGTGGATAGATACCGTGTATCTTTCCGGTTCTTCATTGTTGCCAGGAGTCAGGACCTCTGTTTCCACTTAAGAGTCGATTGTAGAGAGCTATATCCGTCCTCTTCCGGTCACGGGATTTTACAGTGGTCCTGAGATCCTGGTTCACCGAATAGGTCAGCTAGCGGTGGCCTGGCATTGAGATATGGTCCGAGACTTGCCAGTCTTGGATTGTGTTTGATATTTTAGCTGTAGTAAGCGTGAAATCTATTAATGTTTGGCTACGGGCGTTTTAATAAATGTCGGCTCCGTGCCTCTATTCAAGATTGTTAGATCTTTCTTAATTATATATTCATATAGGGACTTACCTCGAGCGTTGATATCTTTGCTGCCCCAGCTTAAGTGGTGATAGTTTGAGTCGCAACCCAATATGAACTCCACTTTCTGGTTGAGGCAGTGATCCACTAGTACCTCCATTTCTCTGGTCGGTGGTAGAGTGGCTGCATCTGAAGGGGGGTACACCGATGCGAGTATCAACGCCATATATTTGCCTTTTCCAACTGGACATTCAACTTTGAACGCAGTGAGGTCTGAGGTGCTGAATTGTGCCATCGGGAAGGCTCTGTATTTCCTAGGAACGTAGACAGCCGTCCTAGGTTGCTGATTGCTTGATTTCTGGTGTGATTAACTTATTCTACTGTTCACATATAGTCAGTGAGCATATTTGAAGACTGGCTTTGAATCAAATCATCTAAAGCAAGGGTGGCCAACGTTTTCGACACTTGGGCCAAAATTCGGAAGTAGTGCGCGCCAGATAGATAAGTCTGCGCACAGTCAAAATCGGATACTAACTTTTCCTATTAGAACTTAGTTAGAGCTTAGAACAAAAAAATGTACTGTAACTAGCAAAGAAAACACCCCAGTCACACGCAGAGTTATCTGACACGCACTCTAACTAAGCAGCGCACAAAAAAAACATTATATTTGGAGTTTTTTTAAATAAAGCAAATTTCTTAGCAAGAAATTAAGCAAGTATCAAGTGACACATTTTTATTTCTGCATAATTCTCGAACATAATATTTTAAGTTACACATTTTGATTCTGCATAATTCTGTTAGGTAACTAACAGAGCTAAGCTGATCAATGTCAACTTCGACTGATGTTGCTACCTGCAAATAATTTTCAAGATGAGCGTCAGTAATCCGTGTTCTCATTTGAGATTTAATATGCTTCATTCTACTAAAAAGTTCTTCACATATGTAAGTGTTACCAAATAATAAAATCATGAACAGAGCATGTTTGTAAAACGCAGGATATTTCTCTTTATCAAAATAATTTTCATAGAATTCTTCCAAGCCAACCTGATTGAATTTCTCGTTCAGCTGTGCATCACATTGCATTTCACTACATTCCATTTGTAAATTACCCGGCAAGGAACTTACATCTGTAGAAAATTAGAAAATGGTGTTGCAAATGCAGAAATAAGATCATACATGTCATTAATCAATTGACATTTGCCTTGTAAACGAATATTGAGTTCATTTAAGAGGCTAGTTATATCTACAGGAAATGCAAAGTCGGATACCCACTCTTCGTCTTGAAACTCGGAAATACTTCTGGATTTGCTTTCAGAAAATGATTGTATTTCTTGCCTCAAATCAAAATCTCTTTTCAACATTTCGGCACGTGTCAGCCATCTTACTTCTGCATAAAACAAAACATCATCATATTCTGAGTCCAAGGATTTAAGAAATTCTTGAAACTGACGGTGGTTCAAACCTTTCGACTCAAAAAAGTTCACTATTTTGACAACTACATTCATAACATGATTCATTTTGAGTTAGTTTGCGCAGCTAGCGGGCGCTCAGTACGTTATTTTAAAGTCAGCCCCGCTTTATGTAGATAAACGTAAAAGAAAAGAAATGTTTGTTTGCTTATTATAGTAGGTATGATAAGGTAATTTCAGTATTAATTTTTTTTACTTTAAAAAAATGTGCTCGGCTCCGCGGGCCACAAAGTAACAGACGGCGGGCCGCATGTGGCCCGTGGGTCACAACACAACTACTCCCCTGGCTAATACCACGAAGGGCGTTGGATTATATCCGACAGAAGTCAGTGCAGGATTTTTCACTGAAGTTATTCCTGCATATGCTGTTGGCTATACAACTGCCGCAATAGATTTTCAATTAATGGAACATACTTGCGAAACGGTTTCGAGCTGTTTGGCTACTCGTCAGTGCAAGGTAGGGTCCATCATCAACATAAAGTCGATGATTTCTGATAATTGAAAATCGAATTTCTTCAGAGCATCATTCCTCGAACTAGGCTGAAGCGGACAACTAACAACATGTTTGTCATCGCCCCATCTGCCTGTGAACGAGGTAACCAACCAACTGTGGTCAATCTTTACGAATTACCTTCTGAAAATCGATTTATTTCCATTTTACGATTTATAATAACTGGCACAGCAAAACTTTTTTTGAGTTATTTATCATTGGATTCTTATTTTCCCAGCAACTTCACTGACGATAACTAGTGAAAATATCCTTCCTCTAATTCGATCTGGGTCAAAACTTTACTGTATATTTTTCATGTACATAACCATTTAAAGTTCTTCTTTCAATCTCAAAAAAGTCCTTGAATAAACAATATCTGAATTTTGACATCTATTGTTCACTTTTTCCTTAATTCGTATGTAGTATAAAAAAACTTTTGCTTTTTTAATTATTAAATAATATCAAATAAAAAATTGCCATATGAAGCAGTTTATAATAATTGTTCACACTCCAATATGTTTTCTCGCTTACAAATGATAAATAGAAGAGAATGGATTAATTGTAAAATTCCAGAAAGTGTCAACAACCACTTTTCAAAATAGACTGTTAACTCTTTGAGTAATTCTGAAATTTTATTTTTATAATTTAGGTTAGTATTGATTCAGCCATGTCCATGAAAAAAGAACACAACGACGTACGGTCATAAATTTCTTTTCAAAGAGAAATTAAAATTTCTATGTTTTTTTACCACTTTTATTTGTAACTAACGTTACTGCAGTTTCGTCCTATACGGACATTTTCAAACTTATACAATAAACTGACTGTAGTAACGTTAGTTACAATCAAAAGTGTTAAAAAACTCAGAAATTTTCATTTCTCTTTTCATTATGATTTCCCATAATATGGGAGCCCAAGCGGGGATTTCGGGATTTACTAAAGCGCGGCAGATTAATATACAGGGGGATACCTTGTACCCGGTTAAGTACCTCCCAAAATATGAGCTCCATATACAGGGTGTCCCTGGACTTCCTCTTTTCCTCTCGGGATAGCATTTTAAAACAATTATTCTCTTATAAATACAAGTATTTTACTTAAATAACATTCACTCATTTATTTGCATGCTATTTCCTGAGCTTTTCAATTAATTAAGTTCAATGAATTGAAAAAAATTAAAAAAATATTGTTTCTGTCAGATTAAGCGAATCCCTCTAGATAATCGTCAGATTATGAGACAGTGGGTCTAAAACATAAAGATGAACCATATATATCTTAATCTGACGCGCTTGAGTATTTCACAATTGCGAATTTTTTGTGCACATTATAATAATGGCCGCGAGTTTGCGTCGGATCGAAATCGTCAGATTATTGAATGAGAGCTCTTTTTTGTTGCACTTAACACCCCCTTAGAAAATCTGACGCGCTCGATTAATTTTTTTTCTTTTCACTTTCAACCCTTACGTACAACCACCCACATCATGCAAACGATCAGATTAACATGCCAACATTATTAAAAATACGTAGAACATTGATGCTATCAATATCTGACGCGCTCGAGTATGTTCAAGCAACAGTATTTTGATTGTAAAAATCTATAGCTGCTTCCTCCACCGATGAAAAGGCATATATTATATAACATTTTTTTCTTCTTATCATCTAACCTTTGCAACCTAATATGTCTCAATGACGCTCGAGTAAATCCCCATTTTGTATCGTGGGCGCCCCTGCTACTACCACGTAGTAACAACGGCTACATCCATCGATTTATTAAAATTTCTTTGCATTACATGAATTTAATATTTTTTAATGGATCCTGGTTCAACTAAACACCATCATTGTTTGTTTATTTTCCCTCACTGTTTCAATTCAAATACAATTGAAGCCATCCTTTTTCAGATATTCCTACTCAACCATGAAAAACTTGTCGCACGACCAGAAAAAATCACAGATTGTATCTGTGAAAAATCTTGAACTTCCTGAAAACTTCCAAACCTATAATCTGGGATTATCCTTGGAGAAGTGGTCGAAAAAAAGACCCAGGTTGAAATCAGGGCATAAAGAACGAAACATGGGTTATCATCATTTTGAAGAACATGACGAAAACGAATGTGATATAACAGACATTCTCGATAACCTAGAAGACAATAAGGAGACTTCGAAAGCAGAAACATCTGATTACGAACTGAATTCAGATATTGAGGAGTTATGGCAAAGATCCCAAGGAAGTTACGGAGATGAAACGACTTCCCAACACAAAAGTTCGAGAACCAGAGAAAAAGCTGCATCCAAGTTGAAAAAAACTATAAGGTTCTCGTTTTCGAAACCAGCCAGTCCGCAAACTGAACAGGTGATAAGAGTTGACGTTTCTTCCAATATTTCTCTGGAAGAGCTGAAGCTGATGAATATGGACAAAGGTAAATTGTGAATAAAAGTTTCTGATCTGTAAGAAAATACTCTTGAAGGAGCTATAATAAACTGTCTTCTAAAAATTTAATGTGATGATATAACAATGATCTTACTTATGTCGACATACTTTGGGAAGGTTACCCCTCTATATGCAAATCGCATAAAACTAAACGGTAGAAATTGAATCTGATTATATAATACACTAACGTTCCGTCCCGGCTCCGCACGGGTGCAATGCTGATACTAAATATACAATAAACGCGTACGATAGCTACTAATCATGAAGTACGAAGGCAGCGCTTCGCGCTATTTATAGGCACGCGTCGCCGGCCCCTCGACCGGTATCGCCACAACTGCTATGTCCCTGCATTTTAAATCTGTGATTTCTTCGAAAATATTCATTTGAATTGCATGCTGTAAAAGGCCATATTGATCTATAATAAATGCACAATGTATTTACGGTACTTAATTGGATGAGAATTAATAGTCTGGGTCACAAGTTCCTTTTTTTGGTACCTACTTCTGTCCAAGGGAAAAATATGATCTAGGAATTATTCGATTCGGAATGATCTCTAGCAATTTTTTGAAAAATGTCAAGAGAGGCTCGAAAAAATTGCAAATGTTATAAACAATTCAGTAAAAAAATTATATCTCGGAAAATATTATAGATATCAAAAATTTAAAAAAATATCCTTAAAGAGGAGGAAATTTACTGAAAAAGTCATACCTCCCGGAACTCACATACCTTCACATACCTTCTAGACACTTGAATAAACGAAAATCTTTGGAAATTTTTTTCCCGTGGTTATTTCATTAGATAAAGCTTCTTGGAGCTTTTCTTTTCCACTTTGTTATTAATAATCAAAGACGTTAAAAAGTGAAAAATTCAATTAGAGCAATGAATGAAATGAGAATCCAAAGAAATGATCTAATCCTATTATTCATCAAAGTTTTTGATAATTGTTTACTAAAATATCCCTTAAATGTGTTTTTTATGGCTTTTAAATCTTTATAACTCATAAACTATTCAAGATACGTCAAAGACACTTAGGATCTTTTTTGTTCTCCTTTTGAGAATAAAAAAATTACATTTCAAACAAATACTCTAACCCTATTATTTATCAACTTTTTTGACAATTATTTAAAAAAATCCGAAACCTCATTCAAACGACTTTTCAACTCAATTATTTCTTAAATTATTGATGGAAACATTTGCTTCGTTTATTTTTTGTTTCTTGATAATTTCTTTGATCTCTTTTGCGGTGGTGACTGGCAATCTTCAGTATCTTTTTCAATTTCTCTTTCTTCTACTTCATTCTCTTGTATTTCGGTTGCAATTTCTTCGTCTTGTACATCCTTCAGTGATGTTTCGACGTATTCCTCTACCAAAAATGGATTTCTTGTTGAACTGCATCCATCATCATTGTCTTCATTAGCTTCAAATAGACTCGTAGGAAGAGTATTATCGTTGAAGTCGTCACTATCATCTTCAATCGTATTCATTTCACTATTTAGGCAACTGTCATCTATACAATGTTTACAGAGAGACGAACATGCATCTGCATCTTCTGTACTTTACCTCTTACCTTCTGTAATTTTGTTAGGGAGATACATAATTTCAGTTTTTATCCATCCCCAATCTTCTGAATTCAATTGGTTACTAAGTCAAAAAATATGATAAAAAATAGGGTTAGAGCATTTGTTTAAAATCTTATTTGTTTATTATTGAAATTTGAAGAAAAATGACTTGAGGTGTGTCCTTTCTCTATTAACAGGGTTTTTATGTAAATTTAAAACTTGTAAAAATTAGTTGATTAACTAAAGTATATCTAATAAAATAATCACTGAAACTAAAACTATTACTAAAACACACACAAATAATAGAAACATTTTCTTTTTTTTCAGAAACTTGTGGTAGGAGCCACAGCCAGTGTAAGAAAGAAGCCGAGCAAAATTTCAGAAGAGATGATAAAACATATGAAACCGAGGAACAAGATTTTGTAATTCGTTGCAGTCATTTGGCTTTGTCATCAAAGAAGCTATCACTTAATTGAAATCTTGACATTATGTCTTTTTGAAATACCTTTTAACGTGTTATCAGAAACTTCATCTATGAACAAAATATAATTTCAACGATTTCCATTTGTTATTTTGAAACCGTTATACAGTGCATTTCTTTAATTCGACTGGGCGTCATCTGGAAAGAAAAATTAAATGGAAAGGGGGTATTGTGACACATAATTCTGAAGCTCCTGACGAATACTTCACAACTGTAGAATATGAAGTCAACATCTTCACCTACTACAAAATGGCGGGAACATTTAATGATTTCCTGAAGAAAAACACTTTAATATCGATATTTCTAGAAATATAACTTTTAACTGCCATATTGCAATTCCAACAACACGATAAGGTTTGTTAGGTTATTTTTTGTTCATAAAAACGACAAAAAATGTCAGTTAAATGTCAGTAACTGAACATTGTTCAGTTTGAATATCCTCATTTAGTTTTCGGTTTCACTAGTATTGAGGTACCAAGTCAAGAATCTCTAGAATGGTCAATTCTCGTGCATCGAAAGAAAAAATTGAAGCGCTTTTTATTTACGGTACGATGCGTAACTTTCACGAGACCGAAAGGATTTTTAATGAACGTTTTCCGAATCGTCCTATCTGTAGAAAATATTTGAGGGGACTTGTATTCAAATTCACAACTACCGGTAGTGTACATAACAAAAAGCCCCCAGGTCATCCGTCCATTCCGGAAGAACAGCAAGTGCAAATAATTGGTGAGATGGTAGTAACTCCTGAACAGTCTTCTTATTCCGTCGCTAATGTTTGTGAGGTGTCTCCTTTCACATCCATACAAAATCAAAATGGTACAACAATGAACTGAAGATAACCCTGATCGAAAAACATAATTCTGCGAAATTATGACGGAAACCATTGCAAGGCATCCTACCTATCTCCACAATATTTGTTTTGGTGACGAATGTATTTTTTTTTAATGTTCACAGACAAAATTGCCATTATTGAAGTGACACCAACCCTCACGTTTTTCGTGAAACATACGCAATATCCAGAAAAAGTTAATGTTTGGGCAGGAGTATTGGGAAACCATATTGTAGGACCTCTATCTATTGATCAAAATTTAACAAGGGAACTGAATATGCTGGAAACTACTGTTGACCTTCTCATCACTGAAATCGTCGAAGCGAATCCTAATGAATTCGATATAGATATTGTTTACCAACAACATGGAGCACCACCACATTACTCCAGACAAGTAAGAAACTATTTGGATACTACTTTTCCCGGTCGTTGGATTAGCCATCGAGGTCCTACAGAATGGCCAGCCCGCTCGCCAGATTTGACACCTTTGGACTTTTTTATGGGGCTATTTGAAGCAAAAGGTGTACGAAACTGAACCAGCTTCAATATTGGATATACTGCAGAGAGTAATAAATGTTTGCAGAGATATTGTGTTAGGAATTACACGTTAAAAGGTAAGACCTCGTTAGTCCTTAGCTTGCACAAGTTTCTCAACTTCTGAGTGTTGTCGGGCGTCAGCTGATTAACAGAAAAAAACAGATTTTGAACAGACAGAAAACAGATTCAAACAGATTGTCGTTACTATGTTCGAAAATGTTTGGCGTGAAATATCGGATAGGCTGTTCATATGTCAAGAAGTTCGAAGCAACCATTTCGAGCATCTTCTGAACTGACCTCAAGCTTATTGCCTCATAGCATGTAGTCAAATGTCAATGTATTTTGGCAATTATTGAAAGTTTCGTCATTTTGTAGTAGTTGAAGATGTAGACATTATATTCTAGAGTTGTGAAGCATTCGTCAGGAGGGTCAAACAGATGTATCACAAGACCTCCCTTTCTGTTTAGTTTTTTTTCCAGATGGCGCCCAGTCGCTATTTCAAAAGTTTCATCTGTCAATTCCACTTCAAAATAAAGTATTTACGCATTAATTTCATTATTCCAAATTTCAATTTTTTGAATTGACCCGTTCAAAAAACGGGGATATTAAAGAAGTGCAGTGTATGTTGAGTAGGAACGCAATGGATGAATCGGATAACCTAAAAAAATTATACTCGAATAAATGCAGTTGAAGTATCAAATACACCAAAACCACTGAAATTATATTGGAAACTGTTATTCAATATTACCAATTTGTCATTTATTTGCATTATTTTTTAGTTTTTCAATAGAAAAAGCTTTGAATAATATAGAAATTTGGGCTTTCACTAGCGTCAATATTTTGGTTGGTTTCCGGGTTTTGCCGTGGTCTTCTTTGGTTATAATCTCCCAACGTTTCGACTGCAATTGCGGCAGTCATCTCCAGTGGCGTGGTCGAAGTACCCTTCTTGAGTTTCAGTTGAAAGAAATTTTTGACAGAAAAAAGTTACAGCAACTTTTCGAAAATGCACATTATCGAAAGACATGCTGTAACTCAGAAACGATGATAGATATTGATATGTGGTTTTCGCCATCAAGTTCATGATGAAATTTGACTCTCAGACACAGCCATCAATTTTCATCTATCTAGTTTGAAAATAGGAGTTTTCCTTTAAAAGAGTCCAATTTGGTACACTCTGTACATATTCAGTACAGAGTGGACCAGTACAGGTGGATAGAAGCTAGAGACCAGTTTTGACTGGTCTCTATCTTCTATCTACCAATTTCATCTTTGAAAAAAATAACAGATCATGCTGTATGTCTGAAAATTCATGGTCAACAGGTTTCACCAAATTATCCACGGCCAAACCAGAGTCATTATTTTTTCTGAAATTTTAGTGTCCAAAATTTAATACATCTTGGACACATGTTCACATGAAAATTTGTTTTTGAATATTATGGAACAATCCATTTTGGCAAATAACCTGTGACAACCATCAGTGTGTAGATGGAATATTGAAATGTGAATGGTTGATCAATTTTCAGCGGTTAACTCGAGTGTATGTAGAATTACCTGTTCATCGACGTTGAACCTAATTCAGCTCAAACGGATCTGTCTTACTTCCCATCGTAGAAACGTTTAGGAGAATACCAGAAACGGTTCATTAATGTGCCATTAATTTCCCGGTAATTCGAACAACCGTACGGGATCTAACTATTCTGAAAGAGAAAGATTTTATGCCAACAGGTTGTTGTTTTGGTTGGTCGCTACCCTTTCTTGAACCCTTTGAATCCCTGGGCTTTCTGTTTCTTACACTCTGGGTAACAAAAGATTTCACATGCATCACCATTCAGATACACGATAAAACTTATACTTTTATACATCGCCATTTTCTTCTAAATGCAAGTGTTGAACAAAAACAAAACAGGAAACTAGCATTTGACAGTTTAATGCTACAATTTGAAAAGTTTTCGAATCTTTAATTTTTTATACCACATAAATAACTGTTTTTACAAACAACCAACTCTGTGCACTACATGTTTCACAATAAGTAGGTAGATAGATGTAAGTCCTATTCTAACCCGTGATTTACAAGTGATACAATTGATGTCCAAAAGTTATTTCTCACTAGTTCGTCAATTGAAACAATTGTTCTGGTCGACCATATCTCAGACAGAAACCATGGAATTCTAAATTTACTATTTGCCTATCTCAAAAAACTATTTTTTATTTATTGAAAAGTTTCATTCATGCATCGAAGTGCTAATAATCCGCGAAATATGTTGAGTCCACTGCTAGCTGAAATTTTTATGGATAATCTTGAAGATGAAATTCATTATAATCAGTTGATAGAACTGGTATATACAGTGTGTAAAAGCCAAATGAAATAAATTCATTATTTCGGTTACTGTAAATATTAAAAAAAACGAAACACGTGAAATGTAAATTATAATTTGACATTCTTCAACGTAAAAATGCTTCCCCTACCTTCATCCCCCTTCGAATGACAGGTACAACCCCCAAAATGTTTTAAAAGGAAAGTATAGGTTTGTGATATATCGTTTGAAAGGTAGAATATAAAAGAGGACTATGGATGTTTACGAAGTACATGTTCGAAATGTTCACTGCGAACGTTTTGGCAACATCCTAATCTCAAATAAAACTTTCTTCTAACATTATTTAACATATCAAACGTGACAGACCTAATCGCAAGCCTTACTCATTTTTTCAAGTCATTCATATCTGAAGGTTTAGTTTTGTACACATTGCTCTTTACATATACCCATAAAAAGAAATCTAATGATGAAAGATCAGGTGATCGTGCTGGCCATTCAATCGATCCTCGCCTCCCGGTCCACCGATTGGGAAATGTTGTATCGAGGTATTGCCGGACATTAACTTGGTAATGTGGTGGTGCTCCATCCTTCATGAGCTTCTGAGTAGGTATCATTTTTTAGGGATGCATTTTTTTTTAATATGTTTACTATCGATGTATGACTAACACTGAATGAAGTGGATGCTTGTCTACTCGATGTATGTAGATTTTCCTCAAACTCAAGCATCACATCTAATTTTAGTTCATCAATCATTGCACTGAAAGCTGTTTTTTTTTCTGCCCCACATGACCAAGCTCGCGAAACTGCTTCTCTATTTTGCTTATTGATATATAGATATATAGAACAGATATATAAAACAGATTTAAAACAGATAGATATGGGCGGTAAATTAGGAAATTCCTCATGAAATAGGCGAGATACTTCCTGTTGTGTTTGATTTTCATTTCCGTAACTGATCATTCGTAAAACTGTTATTTTATGCATTTCCATTAATCTAACCATTTGTCAGACTTGGAGTTAACGAACTTTACAATCAAATTAAAATACTGACAACTAATGTTGTAACATACAAAACAAGTTGACAAGGCGTTTTAAACTAACGTTGCCACGAACATTATTGACAGGATACCAGCTAAAAAGAATATTGTTATGGTTTGATGAGCCCATCAATAACTCCGATCGGTTTTTTGAAAGGATGACTTGGACGTCAGTTAAAGAATAAGTTATGATTTGGGCGAATTTATTGATATCAATGAAGAGAAAACTTCAGTGTCGGATAAATCAGGAGTGTATAAGTTGACTCGTGGTTGTTGTCCAAACCATTACATCGGACAAACAGGGAGAACCTTTTTCCAAAGAGTAAAAGAACATAGGTGTAGTTTCTTGAA